AGTTTCATTTTGAAAACGTCCAAACAAAACATTTTGACTTTTTTCCAGTTTTGTTTGTTTGTTTTTTGCTTTCACACACATAATTTGGCAAAGCTCACATGAATTTGTGAAACATATCAGTGTCACTAAATTGGCAATTTCACACAAAAATTTTGCCCAGCTCAACTGGAGAGCAACCTGCATCTTCTTTAAAATGATAATACAGGCAAGTATATTTTAAAAAGTAAATAAATATCCACAGATTAATGGAATAATATAAACACTTTCCAGGACTGATATCAAATAAAAATGAACTAAATGTCTAACATTCAAGAAATCTGTTTTCTTGTTATTTTAATAATTAAGAATGAATTAAAACTTGGAATAAACTTGGAATAAAAGCAGTCTTGACAGAATTTATTTTTTAATAATTTTGACAAATATTTTAATTTTTTAAAAATTGATTTAAATTTTCACAGTTGCAGGAGATTAGGGGATGTCAGAGAATAATTATTTAATGAAGTAGACATTAAATTCAAAAAGTTAAAGCTTTATATCTGTTAAAAAACAAATTGTCAATGTCACATATCAAAATATACAAAGTAAATAAATATCTTCAAATCAAACTCTAAAAAGTTCTCAATCATATTGTTCTTACTTTGGATATCTGTAAGTTTCCATTATTAGAGTAACCACTAGGTCCCTTTTTTCTAAGGAATAGAAGATTGTATGCAACGCACTGGAAATAAACCTAGGTTAGCAACATCATGGACATATTCATCTCCTCTTAAGAGCATAGAATAGGTTAAAATATTTCCACCTGGGAAGTGTTTGAGGAAAGGGAGACTTTGCAGGTGTGGAGGGTCAGAAAGATATTTAATGTAAAAGGAAGCCAGGAGAGATTTTGAGCTTTGAAGTAACAGACCCTGAATCGCATAATAGCATGAAGAGCTGTGCTATCAGGTGCTTTAATGTTGTGCTTTTTTCTCTCTTAACGCCAGTCATTTTTAGTTCAGAGCAGCTTTTAGTTGTTGGAACAGCTTTTCAGGAAATCTATTTTCGTACAGTTATTTACTATTATTATTTTCCAATTATATCATATTTTCAAGGATAGCTGGAAAAGAGACAATGAAGCATTCCAAATAACTGAAATGAAAATGTACTTTCTAATTCAATAATACTAGGAATGAAATTGATTTTATTATATTCTGACTTTAAGTCTTAGTTTCAGTTCAAATAATCCTTCGATAATAATCCCCTAACTCTGAAAGTGATTTGTTATAGCAATGTAACAGAACAATTTATTTTAAATAAGTAAGATATTAAAAAGCATTCAAGGATCTCAGACTAAAAGCTGAGACCATGGTACAACAGATGTTAAATTTGTTAAAACAATATTGATATTAGAGAAAAGCATGTGTATGTATGTAGGAACTGCAAAAAGTTCAAAACTATAATTATTGCTCTCTTTTCCTTGACAGAAAAACAGACAGACACAATTTCTATCTATCTTGGTGTTTTCAGCCATCTATGTGCTGCATGGGCAAATCAGTTTGGCATGACAATGTCCATATTAGAATCTATTAAAGAGCTCACCTAGGTTCTGTATAGCTCTGTCTTTTCTTTTAATTCTTTTCTTTTAAAATACTGTAGATTCACGGGATATTTTCAAAGGCACAAATAGGACTTAGACACCTGAGTTGCAATAAGATTTGGATGCCTAGTTGTTTTTTGTGCCTTGGAAATTGCCCTGTGCAGTCATTGTAGGAAAGTTTTAGCAAACGTACAGGTTGCATTGTCCAGGAGACATGCATCTTCTCTGGGAGATAATGAATGGAAAGGTGTGCCTGGGTCCTATGTACCGTGGTCCTGACCTGATGATGGTTGGAGGATCAGGACCTGGTCCTTCAATTGACATGAAAAGAAAACAGGAAGTCAATGAAGAGTATGAAGTACAGGGGTGATATGCTCTTGGCACTTCATTCCAGTATTATTCTATTCTGTGTAGGTTCTTAATTCACTGAAGAAGACCATCTCAGCCCACTATCCTGAGGCTTTCTCTTGTCTCCTTTGAAGCCCGACCTCCGAAATGCATTGCACACTCCTGTGAAATTTCCTAAGCTCTGCATACACGTGCAGAGCCAAAAGAACAACAGGTTGTTAGGGTTTGCATTACAAAATCCAGTGTGCATGTTGACTCTTTAAACCCCTGTACATTTGGCTGATCACAATAAATTTTCACCTGATCACAGAAAGGCCCAACAGAGGTGTAGGGCCCATTTCTCTGCCAAATTTCAAGTTACTCCTCTGACTCCAGAATTGGCTACTTGCCAGATTTCAATATCCTACTCTAAGCACCCAAGTCACTAAAGCTATTTTTAAAAAAAAAGTTAGGAAATGTTTTATTAAAAAAAATCTTTAACATTGACAAAACCCAGGATCAATCACAGAAACAGTTCTCTAGTTACTCGGTAAAATTTCTAAAAAAATTTGGCAGGATTAAGGATGAAGAAACTCCACCCTCAATCCTGCATTGAGCATAATGTGGATGATCCCAGGTGTCTGTACTAGTATCTTTTATATATAGATGTGATGTGAGGTCAGATAACAAAAACACTTTCAGTGATAGGTATTCACTCAGGGAGCTATGTTCCTATTTATTGAATCTTAATGATAGCTGTATCTATTCTTGTGTTTTCCTTTGCTTTCATTGGCTTGCACTAGCTCCATCTGTTTTACTATATTCTCCTCCCCATTTGTGTCCCTGTTATCTCAAATTACACAGTCTACTAAAAATTCCCTGCCTTTGCTCACTTCAAACATGTGCCACCAACTCAGCACACATGTTCACAGCTGATTAGTTTGGATGAAAAATTGAAGTGTTTTATAATATTTGGTGTTGCTACTGCCAACTGGCGTCTTTATATCCTTTCCACCCAGGTAAAGAATATAGTAATATATCTGAACATAAAGTAAGGAAATGCATAGGAATCTCAAGAGTGTATCTTTGTGTGTGTGTCACTCTTGGAAGATGTCAGTGGGAAAGGAGTTGAATGAAGCCATAAACATATACAGTACCTCCTCGCTTAACGTTGTAGTTATGTTCTTGAAAAATGTGACTTTACGCGAAACGATGTTATGCAAATCCAATTTCCCCATAAGAATTAATATAAAAAAGTGGGGTTAGGTTCCAGGGAATTTTTTTTTGCCAGACAAAAGACATTATATGCATTATATACATATATAAGTTTTAAACAAGCTCTAATCAGAGGATTAACCAGGGACCTGCTCATGAGCTTCATTTAGTTTATAAGAACAGATGATTCACTACTGTCATCTGTGTTTAACCAAGTAGACCTGAGCAAATGATTCACAACAAATACCATATCTAATGACTTTATCCTTTGTTTCTACTTTCAGAATATCCAATGAGGTTGTGATTTCCTCAGATGAATTTGTTCTTTGGAATTATTTTAGGTAATTGTTTAAAACATTATGTATTGTTTGTGAACAATTCATTGGCCAGGTGGACATGAGCTGGAAAGGTTTGAGTATGGTGTGTATTGTGACTGGCTAGATAGGAGGCCCGCAAGGAGTAGGTGAATGTGAAACCAACATGAATTTACCCCATATCTCCCCTAAGGGTTGTGGAGGGACTATGAAACGATGATACTGGTTTGAGGTTTGCCTTGGAGGAAGAAGACAGATGCCTCCATCTCCAGAGGAGGGCTCAAATCATGTTCACTGAGCAGAGACAGGTGTGCCCATCAACCTTGGGGAAATAGGGAACAAGACTATCAATGTCAGAAAGAGAATAAATAATCAACCCTGCAGGTGGGGAGTTGAGAACATTAAGGGTGAGACCATCAACCCAGGATGGGAAATTGGGAGAGACCATCAACCTCAGGTGGAAGGTGAAACCATCAATTTCGGAGGAGGAGTAGAAAGTGGGATCCCCTACCTCAGAGAAAGGGGATAGGTGAGACAGTCAACCTTATGGGGAAGGAAGGATGAATCTGGTCCCTGGCATTGTAATCTCTGACATAATCTCTACATTATTTTAATCACTTGGTAACACTTGGTCCCTTGAGTCTGATTGGTGACTGAGCCACAGATACCAGAGTAATTTTCATTTTAATACATTTGTTGTGGGTGCAGTATCAGATGCATTACATTTCAGCATATTCACTGTCCAAGATGCATTCAGATATGATTTATAGGGTTGGTTGTCAGTCAAGGAACAGAAACAATACCTTACACAGCAAAATACTCTCTTCCACTCTTCTTTTCCCAACCCATGAAAACAAATCCCACTACAAAGAATCAATTATAAGATTTAATTTCAAAATATGACTGATCCATTTATCAAAGAATGTGTGTGTGCTTTTGCTCTCTGCCTCTGTAGTCTCTGGCATAATTCTCATCCCCCACTTTGGAGAATATCTTAATTTATTGTCCGTAATGGCTTATTCCCCATCATTAAAACTAAGCTTCAAATTTAATTTATTTATACAACTAGAGAGCAAAAATTCCATATGCTCAACTGCCGGTTAGTGCCATTTGCCTTTGTGTGAACATCTACCTTAACATAGGATGAGTTGAGACTTGCAGTCATAGCTTGCAGATTATCCAAAAGATGGTTTACCACAAATACCCTAACTAAACATACCTACCCTGATCCTGTTCTCACTCATGCTGGTTTTAGCAAAGATACATCTCCAGTGAGTTGCCCCTCATTTACGCTGTGGATGTGAGATTGTAATCAGCCACACTAACTAGAAGAGGAAGAAAGCACAGAGCTTTTTTGAGTTCATTGTTGGACAAAGTAGCTCACTTAGTAAACCAGATTGGCCACTGTCTTGCATTTTGTGTAGTCATTCATGCAAATGCAAAGTAGGTGTAAAATGCTACCTCTCTGATCTGGTAAGCTCTTACATCCACTTGGCACAGGTAAAAATGATTGCACAAGGTGAAAGACAGTGGAGAATCAAGCCCATTGTTAATAAAGCAGAGCTTTTCACCTTGGAAACATGGGGACAGTGTTTCAGAAATGCTCAGTAGCTCCTATTGTGACACACATGGCCAGATTTTCAAAAAGGATCCACACGCTGAGCTCTTCCGAAAATCCGGCTTACAGTGTGTAGTTTTGGTTTTTGCATTTCTGATTTTCTCTCCTCTGGTTTCTGTAAAAACCACTGGATACTCAGAGATCTGCAAGAAAAAAAACAGAGCAAAACCATAAACATTTTCCAGGAGCTCCTAGAAAAAAACTAATTTCCTTCCAAAACTAATTTTGTGTTAAAATGGACATATTTCCCACTGGATTTTTGCACCTCACAAATTCTCTGATGTCTCAGTTAACAAGCTGAGGCTGTGTGGTCAGTTTAGCTTTTGGGAGTGGTATCTCTAGGAATAATGACATGGAAGGGTATCTGTCTACTCTGCAAAGAAAAACCCATGGCACTGAGCCCAGGACCATTGACTCAGACTTGCAGGGATTAAAAATAACAGTGTAAACATTCCCACTTGGGCTGGAGCCCTAGCACTGAAACCCAGTGGGAGGGAGGGTCTTGGAACCCAGGCTGCAGCCTGGGAGGGAACATCTACACTGCTATTTTTAGCCCCGTAGCCCAAACCCTGCAAACCCAAGTCAATTGATCTGGGCTCTGAGACTCCGCATCATGTGTTGTTGTTTGTAGTATAGACATATCCTAAGATAGCACCTGCAATCAATTGTAAGTAGCAAGAGGGGGTGGTTCTGAATATGAACTCCAATCTAAACTTTTTGAAATCTAAACACTTTGAAATGTGGCTATCAGATGTGTGATTAGAGTGTATATAATTTGCCAAACTAGATTATCAGAAATGACCACTGTGACAGGGACCGGCCAGATGGCTACAGGAGGGTGATAGAAGGCAGATATATTAGCCCCAGGTTAAGTAGGTCCCTTTCCCCTGGGTTAGATAACAGGGAAGGTTCCAGAACAATCAGGAACTTTCTGGAAACAATTAAGGCAGACAGGCTGATTAGAACACCTGCAGCCAATCATGAAGCTGCCAGAATCAGTTAAGACAGACAGGCAAATCAGGGCCCCTGGGTTTAAAAAGGAGCTCACTTCAGTTTGTGGTGTGCATGCGAGGAGCTGGGAGCAAGAGGTGCAAGAAGCTGAGAGTGAGAAGGTGTACTACTGGAAGACTGAGAAGAGGAAGGTGCTGTGGTGAATATAAAGCAGGTACTGGGAGGAGGCCATGGGGAAGTAGCCCAGGGAGTTGTAGCTGTCACACAGCTGTTACAGGAGCCACTGTAGACAGCTGCACTCCACAGGGCCCTGGGCTGGAACCCAGAGTAGAGGGTGGGCCTGTCCCTGTCCCTCCATCCCCCCCTGTCCCTCCACCCCCCCCAACTCCCTACTTGATACCGGAGGAGTTGACCTCACCTGTGGGTTCCACCAGAGGGGAAGGTCTCTGGCCTGTTCCCTGATCCACTAGGTGGATCAGCAGCGACTGCGGGGATTGTTCTTCTTCCTTTTCCCCATGCTGGCCAGTGATGAGGCTAACTGAGTGAACGGCACATTTGAGCCACGAAAGTGGCCAAACTGAGGGTTGCCGTGAACCTCTGAGGCAAGCAAATCTGCCAATAAGCGCAGGACCCACCAAGGCAGAGGAGGAACTTTGTCACACCACCTTCATATTTTTCAGGTGACAGACATTCAGAAATGAATCCATCAGTGATGTTTCTTATTTGGGGCCAAATCTAAATAACACGACATTTGGGATTTTTGTTTACTTACCAATTGATTAGAAAAATAGATTTAAGGCTGTAACCTATTAAGTTATCCAATGACTGAATTATTCCAAATGTAGGAAAATACATTGGAATTTGCTATACCAAATTAGACCATTGCTCTGGTAAACAGCCTCCGCCAATGATCAATACATGATGCTTTAGAGGAAGGTAAGAAACAAAAACAAATAATAAACCGACACTGCATACTCCACAAAACCTCTAAAATGAAACTGTGGCTGTCCTCGTTGGATTGTACAGAAATTCCTCCAATCAAAAATGAATATAGTTAAGTATTTCTCACATAGATCTGGATTCATCATCAGAAAGTTCAGAGGCAGATACAGATTTTGGTGTGCTCAAAGAATGGAAAGGGTAAATATTCAGTATACATTTTATTTTAAACTAGAAGCAAGCACATTCTTAAATATCAAAGCAATTATCTTACTTGAGAGGAGGAAAAAAATATAGAACATTCCTGACTTCTTCAAAATAGCCTTACATGCACATTGAGAAAATGCCTAAAAGGGACTTCAGTCAATCTTGATTTATTAGTTGCTCTTGAAGAAGCATGTTTCAGAGATCTTGAGCTAGCAGTCAATAACATCACTCTTACTGACTCTAAGGTACTTCCGGAGCTCCCTGGGCTCTATCATTTAAATACAATTGGTGCAGTACAAGTTTCAGCTCATTTTAAGGTATCATCTGATATGAAACATACACAGTATTCCCTAAGGCTGATCTCTTTGTGCTTTTTTTATCACTCTTTGAGACTCAGCATTTCAGGGTTTTCTGATGGCAATATTTTTAAGCCAAATTCAGCAAGAAATGTTTCCTGAAGATATAGACTTCTGAAAATTATTGCTTCATATAGCAGCTGAGCCCCCTTACTTACCAACCACTGTCCCACCTCCTTTTTGATTATTGCCCTCTTGTCTAATGCTCTTGCTTCTAGGTAATGTAAATAATAAGGTTGCAGTTTTGTTGCAAATCCTTATTTCAAAAATATATGCATCCATCCCTGTGCCACTTGTGCGTCACAAAAAAGGAAGAAGGGTGATTTTTGTGGTTGAAGTACTGGCCTGGGACTAGAAGATCTGGGTTGAATTCCTGGATCAGCCACTGACTTTCTTTGTGACCTTGGGCAAGTAACTTTAATCCTTGTGCCTCACTTTCCCATCTGTAAAATACAGGCGATGCTAATTCATTTTCTGCACACTTCTCTGACTAGATCTTGGATCTTTTTTCATGCAGTTGAAAGAAACTGACTCTCACAGATCATTTCTCCCACAGGCAGGTTACATAGCTGCACAATTTAGGGTCTGCTTCTAAATTCTGTGAAGAAACTAAAACTCCTTATTTATCATATTTGAAGTGATCCTCAGCTATTTTAACTGGCATAGCTACTTTGGATTTCAGTGCAAGTACATGAATTTACATCAGTTGAGGATCTGGCCAATATATCTTTTTAGAGCCTCATCTGAAAATCTGGAATAACCATTGAATTGAGTGGAATTACTACGGATTTACACCACTGTAACTGATATTAGAATCTAGGGCATCATATTTTTCTGGTGAAGACAAAATATACAAAAGGCTATGCAGCAAATCAAATAACTTAACATTACTATGCGCTGACTAATAATATAGGAAAATATATTTAAGCTTTGAAAAAGAGTTCTAGAAATGGATCATATTATATTAGAACGCACATATTATAACATTCATTGCAGTGGTAGAATATGAACTGCATATTATTGTAAAAGAAAATCCAATTTGCTGCCTACTGCCTTCAATTTAGTTTTGACAAGTGCTCAATCTTTTGCTGAATTTTGCTTTTTCCATTTATCTTCTGGGGAATGTTCTGTAATGTCTGCTTAGGGCAAAAACAATAATCTTTCCATTTAATTTACTGAAAAAGCTCATGTCCTTTCTGTGCTTACTAGCTGCAATAAATATGAAAACAAATCCCTGTTGCTAAAGATCCATTTGACAGTACAAAACAGATTCTGACTTTTTAATTTAGGTATAAAACTGCTGATAGCATATGAGGGATGCAGACTTACAACTATGTAGCATTTATTTATGAGCAGTTGCAAGGGAATGATCTACAAAATCATGTATTATGTTTACTAGTGATGGATGAACCTCAGAGGTACAAAGAAGACCTGTTTGACCCGCACAAAGAAACCTAAAGCATATGAAATTTACCAGCTATGATTAAAAACTTGAAACTCAGGCCAAGTTTACCATGAGCTCAGCTAAGGTTTGCCAGTGTTTCATTGAACTAATTTTGATTAAATTGGGGTCCATTTCTAATTTAATTCACTTTGAAAACATGAATGGTGAAATCCTCAAGTTTTTCTACTGAGATTTGCTTGGAGTAATACTATCCATTCAAAGCCAAAACTCAAAGTTAAGCTAGATTTCACACTGCTTTAGATCTGAGGTTTGGTTTAGAAATAGTCACCTGACCTTATCCACAACTCACTAGTCTGGAAATCAAGCGAACAGGATTTCTCCAGCACGTTCTGAGTTCCAATATATTGAAAGTGCAGTCTTTCTAACATTTTTTTCAGTATTTTCATTTCTTGCCCCCCAAAATGTTGTCTGTTCAGATAAGCTCCTTCATATAGTTTAGCAAAACTAATCAGACATTCTTCAGCCTCAAAAAGATTTAAATTTAATTCAGTCTGGCTCTACTTCCTAAAGTAGCTTTCCTAATAAGAAAATGAAGTGGGTGCTATTAAGTCTAACGCAGAGTCACAGAAAGAGCAGCCACAGATTTAGCAACGAATATACAGAATGAATAACTGCCCAGGGACACAGTACCACTCCAAAGCTACTTCCAAAATACCTATTGATTTTCCTGGCACTAGGATCACATCTTCTGTTAGGGTGTGTTCCGAGCTCTGGGTATTTGGAATTGTTTCCTGAGGCCTGGTCTACACTGTGGGGGGAGATCGATCTAACTTACGCAACTTCAGCTACATGAATAACGTAGCTGAAGTCGACGTACTTAGACCTCACCGCGGTGTCCGCTCCCCTGTCAACTCTGCCTGCACCTCTCACAGCAGTGGAGTACAGGAGTTGATGGGAGAGCGCTTGGGGGTCGATTTATCGCATCTAGACTAGACACAATAAATTGACCCCGATGGATCGATCACTGCCCGCTGATCCGGCGGGTAGTATAGACATACCCTGAGATAGCTTTCAAGAATTCCACTTATTTATTATCTCCTCAAATTTGAAAGAGGCAGCAAAGCCTACAGAGGAAACAACAAGAGTAGCAAGGCTAGTGCTGCTGCTTGTGCAGAATCTAATACTGTCAGACTGATATTTCTCAGACCCTCAGGGTATGTCTATACTGCAATTAAACACCCGTGCTGGCCCATGTCAGCTGACTCGTGCGTGGGCTGCAAAATTA